TCACACTAAACCTAAATCCTCATCCCCCTATCCCCAGTCCCTGGCAACCACCATTCTACTTTACTTTCCATCTCTCTGATTTGGGATACCCTAAGTACTTCATGTAAGTGGAATCATACAGTATTTGTCTTTTTGTGATTGGCTTATTTCACTTAGCACAATGTCCTCAAGCTTCATCCATGTTGTAGCATATGTCAGAATTTCCTTTCTTTTCAAGGTGGAATAATATTCAGTTGTATGTGTGGATCACATTTTTCTCATCCATTCCTCTGTCAATGGATAATTCCATGGGTTGCTTCCATGTTTTAGCTATTGTGAACAATGCTGCTATGAATCTGGCTGTTCAAATATCTCTTTGAGATTCTGCTTTCCTTTCTTTCCAGTATATATCTATAAGTAGAATTGCTGAAATCAGGTAATTCTAGTCTGAATTTTTGGATAACTCATCATTTTGTACAATTTTACGTTCCCTTAACAGTGCACTAGGGTTCCAACTTTTCTACAGCCTTAGCAACACTTGTAATATTTTTTTTTTGATAACACTGCTCTCATTTTAAACCCAAATGTAAGACCCTATGTTTGTTTATATTAAGCATGAGGTCAATTGGTAAAAGATATCAACATGACTTAGCATTTTCATGTGCTTGGATTGCTTCTTAGTTTACATATATAATACTAGTACCCTCCACAACATTGTAAATTAAAGTGGGCTATATCTCAGCTCTGAAATAGTACAGTATGAAACTGGTTCTCCTGCTCCTTCAGATCCACATAGATTGCTATAAACTATTTCTATTTCTAACTGATCCACAAGCAAATGCAACCTTATTCCTTCTTTCCTAAAATGAGTTAACTCCCTCCAGTGAAGTGTAGAAAGAACCGCTCATTGAATTCATAGGTGTGCCTTTTCTTTCTGGTGAGATTTCTTTCCTCTTGCATTTAGGAGGGCAGTAAGAAATGAGAATAATAATTACCCCAAGTGGACAAAACCCAAACTATAATGGCTAACAATTATATAGACATTTATTTTCTGTTATTTATTATATGATTATATGTCAGGTGCTGTTTTAAGCTTTTACACATATTAGCTCAATTAATCCTCATAATGACATCATGAGTTCAGTACTATTTATCATCTTCCACATTTTCAGGAATGATGAAACTGATAGGTAGAATGCTTAGGTGACAAGTTCTAAGTCACACACATAATACGTGGCAGAGCCAACATTTGCACCCAGGAAGTCTGGTTCCATTGCTCAAACATCTCCCAAGAGTGATTACACTGAAAATTTTATTAGCACCAGTAAGTGAAGTTATGTTACAATATCTCGGTAATCACTTCTGTAAACGACTCCCTCAAGTTTGTTCTAGATTCACCATCTAAAAACTAAGCCGAACAGTTTTTTCTTAAATCCAACCCTTGATTTTTGTGGTGCCATTCTCTTGATTTCCCTCTAGCTTTTTCAAATGTAAGCTCTTGGTACATTTTAATGATCTCATATTTTCTGTGCATATCCTAAATGTTGAGATACCCCATTTCTTTAGTGAGCCTTTTTTCACTCCATACTCTCTCTGGGTTACCATGTTGTCAATAAGAATGTGGTGATCACTTCCAAAAAATATATATTTTTCTTCTGCTTGTATGTCTTCTCTAAGTTCCATCTTTTTCCTAGATAAATTCACCAGAAGTCTGTCAGGTACCCCAAACTTTACATTTTCAAAACAGAATCCATTATTTCTATGCATGCACATATATACACATACACATACACATACTTGGACAGACAAAAATGTAGGTCACAATTCTGTCACTGACCCTGTGTACAGCTTTGAGAAACTTAGTTATCCTCTCTAAAGCTTTAGTTTTCTCAAGTCTAAAGTGAGGGAAATATTACCTACTTCACAGAGTAATGGACAGGATTAAAATAGATTAATTACATATACCATCAGGCCCAAAGAAAGTACTCCTGGCTGGACACCATGGCTCACACCTGCAATCCTAGCACTTGGGTGGCCAAGGTGAGAGGATTGCTTGAGCCCAGGAGTTCTAGACAAGCCTGGAAAACATAGTGAGACTCCATCTCTAGAAAATTTAATTTAAAAAAATTAGCCCAGAGTGGTGGTTATGCCTGTAGTCCAAACTACTTGCTGGGGTAACTTTTCTATAATTCTAAACCTTCACACATGCTCATTTATGGTCCTGCCTACACATGCTTTTGCTATTTTACCTCTATTTGTTCTTCATGAGCTAATAAAAACATCACCTTGGATAGCTTGCCTAACTTATTTAAGAAGTGTCAGTTACTCACTCCTCTCACATTTTCTTTAGCATTAGGGAATGATATCCTTAATGTGATATTGTAATATATTTGCATATATGTGTGTATTCTAATTGTGGAACTACATGGGAAGCCATAGCGCCCAGCCTAGCACACAGCAGAGATTTCAATGAATAGCTGATTAGTGAATGATTTGAAAGACTAAATCCAAAATTAACTGACTTCCTCTTAAGTCCAACAGTACATTTTCAGTCTTCTTTAGCCTTTTGGAATGATATGTTCTGACTAAACCATCAAGTGAGATAAAGTGATAAAGATTACAAAATTTAAAACATTATTGGGGACTTCTAAAAGCACAAATATATATTACAACTGCCAGGTCATTTAATGATGTATACAAATGAATTTTTGTTCACTTTTATTTGCAGTTAGTATTTTTAAATTTAATTTTACTTATTTATTAAGTCTTTTTATTCACAATTTGAGCATAAACACTTGGAGTCGTCCTACTGCATAGCTTACCGCAGTGATAAAGATTATTTGTGGCTGGTCATCTTCTCTAAAACCTCAGTTTCCCTCGGGCACCTGAGTCCAACTCTTCCCTTTTGTGAAAGGTACAAATAGCTGGACTTACCAATAATGTAAAGTTAATGACTGAAATCTAGTGACTCTGAGAGATCATGTGAACCAAACCTGAATGGACTTACCAATAATGTAAAGTTAATGACTGAAATCTAGTGACTCTGAGAGATCATGTGAACCAAACCTGAATGGACTTACCAATAATGTAAAGTTAATGACTGAAATCTAGTGACTCTGAGAGATCATGTGAACCAAACCTGAATGGACTTACCAATAATGTAAAGTTAATGACTGAAATCTAGTGACTCTGAGAGATCATGTGAACCAAACCTGAATGGACTTACCAATAATGTAAAGTTAATGACTGAAATCTAGTGACTCTGAGAGATCATATGAACCAAACCTGAATGGTGGTTTCTTGCTGTGTCTCCCATATCTCTCTATTACACAGCCTCAGTAAAATGTATTTCAGAGGAAAGATAAGGTGCAAATGATTAAATGATTACCTTGTCTACAGTTGCAAGTAGTTTGGATCCCTATGCCCATCAGAGAAGGCATAGAAGCTAATCATAGTAGCCTTCTAGGGGGAAGAACAGCAGAAATACCACCACTCACACTTTCACAGCTCCTCTGATTTCACGGTGATACAATTTAGATTCTATTATTTGAAAATAAGTCAATCAAAGCAAAATGAATCTGGTTTATTCAACTGTGGTAAACTTGAATGCTTTCAGATACATTTGTGTCAAAGTGGAAAAAAGTTGTTTTCTGGCATTTTAGTGTATTTGTTTGTTACTTTGAAACTTTCACACAAATTTGGGGTCTGTAGTCTTAGCTTCATTTTTTAACAAACATATACTGTCACAGATGGTATTTTGTTTTCTTACCTTTAAAACTTAATCAGCTGGTTTAATTAATTGCCCAAGGTTTCTCTAAAACAATGTTCTCATTCTTCTGTGTAACTCTGCCATATCACATGCTGTTGTTATCTTTTCAACCAGATTTTTTACCACAAGTTGTTTAAAATCCATGAGCTCTAAGGGTGGAAAAAATGAAGTGCAGTTGAAAAGACAGTTATGTTGAAAGATAAACAGAGCAATATGACTTATCAAAATGGGTACAATTTTTGCCTGCTTAATGAGTGCAATACATAGCCTTCCAATATATACACAATTAAAAGAAGAGCTTCATAACATATCAAGTATGCTACATTATTTCAGGCATAACTGTATAGGATACATATCTAGGCCTGAGAGTGTAGATAACAAAATATAAGTGCTTTGCCTGTCTAAACACGTTAAATAAATGAGTATTTCCTCTCACATTCCAATACATTAGAAGATGTACTTGCATAGTTAATTTTTCTTTTTAATGCACCACATGTGATCACTGAAGTGCAGTGCCAAAGTATATCTTAGCGTTTGAAGAGACATTTCTTTTCATTTAAACAAATCTTTATTTAAATAAGCCTTTTTGAAAGGATTTTTGGCATATCTTCATTTCAGGAAGTTCAATCAGGGTAAATGGAGATAAAGAAACTACATTATATGGAATATTATATAAAAGTAAAGATCATTCAGCCAAAAAAAAAAAAAATGGCAGCAGACCTAGCAGAGTACAATGAATTTCATTTTAATTTTCTAGATTTTAGGACTTTTTGTTTACTTGTTCTGTAGTTTTGGCATCTAGTGTTGATATGATGGAAGTATTTGGGGGAGAGAATAAATAACTTCTTACTTTAATAAAATAATAACTTCAAAGGCTCACATGAAATAAACGTAAGCAGTTGGGTCCCTACCATGCTGGTTTTTAGGCATGATCCCAATGTAATTGTGTGGTTACTGATTTAGGCAAGCCCCAGAAAGCAAACAATTAAAAAAATTTCTACAAATTATGTTTATACTGTACTTTATTCTTAATCTACTCCTGCTTCTGGTCACTAAACAGTTCATTTAGTGCAGGGAGTACAATTTTCCACACAGGAGGCAAGACGAGTACAGCTGTGGCCTTGATCAAACACTTCACTCCAGTAGAAACCGGTGCGAAAAACATGAGACAAAGCTATGGACATCAATCTAGTGTACAACAGACTTAAGCATCCTATGTCAATTTTATCTTTTTCTTTTCTCTTCTTAATAGGGGGTCAGCTTTGGTGTACAACTACAAAGGCCATCTCTGAGGGTGAAGAGCTAATTGCCTTTGTGGTGGATTTTGACTCAAGGCTACAAGCTGCCAGTCAGATGACTCTCACAGAAGGGATGTACCCTGCACGCCTGCTGGACTCAATTCAGCTGCTTCCTCAGCAAGCTGCCATGGCTTCTATTTTGCCCACAGCTATTGTCAATAGTAAGTGCCCAGTGCTGTGTAGCCCAGCTTTATAGAGGTGGTGGGAATTTATGGGAGAAAAAGAAAGTGTCTACTGACAACCAACTAGAAACAGACCTTTTCCCTTAGTGTTGTGGTTTCACTTTATCATTGTGTGTGTGTGTGTGTGTGTGGTCACTTCTCCTGGGAGTATAGAAAGACCCTTAGCTCCAGCCATTTCAAATCAGATTCCTGAATGTCTCTCACACACACACCCTGATATTGTGATATTCTGCATGAGTTGGATATTCGGGGCTACTTAGCTGTGAGAAGGCAAGCACCTTTCATTAATGCTTCTATAGTAGAAAAATTTTGGAATTCTTTAAGGGGCATAGAGATAAAAACTTGAAAAAAAGAAAGAATACAAAATCAAAGTTTGATTATATATACTAATGAAAAGGAAGTGTATCCTGGATAAATCAAGATATCTGTTAATGCAAAATGGTAAAAGAAATGTGTTATAAACTTATAATACTTTATATGGAGAATTTTTAAGTAGGCCTGGCAAATTTACCTTCATGGTTTTATTTTGTAAAAAAGAAATTGAACTTAGTTTGTATTCTTGTGTCACAGAATGATCCTTCATATGATAGAAAATCAGTGGTCTGGGGTCCCAAAATCTGTGTTCTAGACACACCTGCTTTTATCTAGCTCTATGAAAAAACATTAGTAGCAGACACATCTTACAAGGAAAATAGATTCTGAAGTTAGCAGGTAAGAAAAAATTGCATCTAGCCAAAAAATACACTTTAAAATCTCTGAGGCTCTGAATGAGGCAGAAGAGAAATCTAAAAATGCAATGATGTTTTTATATTAAAATATAAAATATTCAACTATAATTAGATTATTGCTGTAATATCATCCTTTAAAGAAATCATCAAATGTTTCTGAAATTACTGTGCATTCAATCAATGGATATAGTACTTCCCATCTAAGCTAGTATTATTGGATTTCCTTAAGGTAAATGTGCTTATTTTCTTTCTTGGATCTTTATTTTGATTCTGATAGTGAGGAACTTGAAGTAACATGGACCCAACCTGAATTTGAGGTAAAAGGATGTTATTACCAAAGACTCTAGGAGTATCTGATGTTATTGAGAAGCTCCAATGTATGGATGCTAATTCTAATTATAGTGGAGAGTATACTCTGTTTGCTTTCTAGCAAGATAACTATTTATTTCAAATAATTCAGCATAGATGCAGAGAGCTTTTGCTTTCATTCTGAAATTAGTGAGTTAAATTCATCCTGCTTAAATGGACACTTTACTGAACTGTGTAGCCTCATGAATAGTGTAAATGAAATGAACTTGGGAGGCAGGGGTTAAATAATACACAGTAGCAGTACATAATTTTAAAATTAGATGTTAATTTGAAACTTTATATTATACTTGCTATCCTTACTTCCCTTTCACTAGAATTTGATCATTAGTTTTTTCTCCTTTTCACCTTTCATGCAATCTCCCTGAGCCATCTCTGCAGCATTTTAGGCCTGTGTTGCCACTTACCCCATATTCTTCTGTATTTATTACAGAAATGTTAGATTCCACATGTCTAACATGAACATGTGCCACAGTTTTTCTGGCTTAGTCCCACTGTATATTTTTACCTGCATCCGTGTGGATGGTGACCCCTTTCTCTCTAAGTTGAGAAAGTGCTGGGTTTGCACAATACTAGGTCAGATTTGGTCACCCTATACATGCCCTAGCCTGAAGACATCAGCTCTCCATCTTCTGTTCCCTGTGTACATGTGAAACCATTACTGACACAGAAGCTTGGGAGCAAAGCAGAGGCTTATTCATCCATTCTAGAATCTAATCACCAAGCATTTTTGATGACTTCTAGTCAGTTCTACTTTCTAAGCATAATTCTTCCTCTCTGCCACCCTTGCCATGGAGGCATTATGGAAGAGTGATTAAGACCAGATTCCAATCCCATTTCAACCACTGTTGTGACTATGGATGGGCAAGTTACCTAACCCCAGTTTCCTCACCTATAAATGGATAAAGGGGGAAAAAAACACATGGAGAAATTTATCATGAGTGAACACATGAAAATGACGCATCATAGCATGACTTGGTAAATACGGTACCAGTATCAGCTGCAGTTCAGACCCCATTGTGTTTCACTTCGAGTACTGCAGTTGCCTCCCACCAGTCAAAACTCTTTCTTCTAAATTCAGTACCTTCAAACCTAGACTCCACTGCTATGATTCCATAATATCTGATTATTTCAGTGTCTTGCTTAAAATGATTCAGTGATGCTTCATAATTATTAAGACAAACTCTAAAACTTGTTGAAAGTATGCAGTTCTTTCACACTATCTCTGCCTCCTACAGCCCCTTCTCTCCCACCCCTGTTGTGCTCCTTGCCTCAACAGTACAGAACAGCCTCCCAGTTTCCCAGCCCTTCTCTCAGGCTCCCATGGCTTTCCTTGGGCCGTTACCTTGATCAGGGTGATCCGATCCCTCTTCTCCAACTAACTAGCTTAATTTTATCCTTCACACCTAACTTCAGGTTGAGCTCATCATCTTTCCCCTAAGCCCATCTCTAATGTCTTCCTCCCTCCACTCCTGTCATCAGCCTCTTTTCCAGGCTCTGGGGCATTCCTCAGATACCTCAATCAGAACAGTAATTAGGCTGTAATGCAATTAGCTGACCACATGTTCGTCAACTCAAGGAGACTTTAGGAATCCTAAGGTCAGCTGTTTCATCCTTCATTTTGTCTTATACCTAGCCCAACACAGAGTTGGGCACATAGTAGCCACTCCGTAATTAATGTGTTAAAAAAAATGGCATCAGGGGATAGCATCAAGGCTAATATTAGTTCAGCCATTACATCCTTACCTTTTAGTCATCAGATAAGTTAATTTACACTATAAATGTATATTTTTTTCTAACTCTAAATACAATTTAAAATCAATATCTTAGGCTGAGCACAGTGGCTCTCACCTATAATACCAGCACTTTGGGAGGTCAGGGCAGGCGGATCACTTGTGGTAAGGAATTTGAGATCAGCCTGGCCAACATTGAGAAATGCTGTCTCTACTAAAAATGCAAAAATTAGCCAGGTATGGTGGTGCTCACCTGTAATCCCAGCTACTTGGGAGGCTGACGCAGGAGAACTGCTTGAACCCAGGAGGTGGACGTTGCAGTGAGCTGAGATCACGCCACTGCACTGCAGCCTGGGTGACAGAGTGAGAATCTGTCTAAAAAAATAAAATAAAATAAATATCTTGTGTTTTAATGTTGGAGTCTCCTCTTTCTAGAGTTGTGGGAAGTTAAATTATAGACTATAACATTTCTCTAAAAGCCAAGTCCTATGCTGTAGGACAACACCAAAGACTGTACCTATCACTGTCTGATTGCCCAATTCAGAACCTGAGAGCAGAGTCTGAGAAAAATTGGTCTAACTGCTGTTTTATTCACATTTGGTTTCAAATAGATAGCAGCAAATGCGTCTCTGTGTTTTTACCTGCAGAGGATATATTCCCTTGCAAGTCCTGTGGCATCTGGTATCGGAGTGAGCGGAATCTGCAAGCCCATTTGATGTACTACTGCAGTGGGAGGCAAAGAGAAGCTGCTCCAGTGTCAGAGGAAAACGAAGACAGTGCCCATCAGATTTCCAGCCTGTGCCCCTTCCCACAATGCACCAAGAGCTTTTCAAATGCTCGAGCTCTAGAAATGCACCTGAATTCACACAGTGGTAAATGCCCCTTTTGTTTCTTCTGTTGTTCCAGAAGACTATTATTTTTATAAATATATACATGCATTACATATATACATCTATATCTGTCTATCTGTATTTATCTACAACATCAAAATTGACCTTTCTGGGCCAACCAGTGTGATCTTATGCCACTTACACTCAGCATATTTTAGTCAGATGACTTGGGTCTGAATTCTTTTCTGACAAATTCAGTGCTCTGACCATAGGACTGAGGTTTTAGAAAGCACATTATTTTCAAAAGAAAGTCTCAGTACACTTTGAATAATGTCATGTATTGCTTTAGTGTCAAACAATCTTTGGAAACTGACCATAGTGTTTCCTATATGGTAGGGAAGAAATAAGAAGTACGTAATATAAGTGTTTGCTGAATTGAAATAAAGCTACCATATTGAAACATCCAACTAAAATTATACTTCAGGGATGTTTACTTTTAAATATGAATCAATAAAATATTCTTGACTTCCAAAATATGCATCAAAACAGCTTTGCTGGCTTTTATGACATAAAGCTACTTTTAGCACTATGTTTTAAAATTCCTTAAGAAAATATAGGCTGTAAAATAAATACACTTTTTAAGGCTGTAAAATAAATACACTTTTTAAGGCCCTCTCTAATACCATTTATTCCCATTTAATTTGGAATTGTGTGCCAGCTATTTTTAGTTTCATTTCATAGCATTCTAATTATTGTATTTTAAAAATGAATTTAATACAATGTACAGAATTCTATTAACTTTAAATAATTTTAGGTACATTCTTGCATGGGACAAACTAGGGACCGAGAATAATAATTCTTTAGCACCTGTAATATGAACCTTGTAGGACACCTCTGGGTGACTTTCTTAGATGGATTAGATAATTTTAAAATAGAAATACATGTTGAGTTTTAAAATACTGCTCTAACCTCCAGTGTTCTAGTATAAGCTTTTGTCTTTGAACCTTTTTGTAAAAGTAGGGATTTCCTTTCTACTCATCCTCTTTCCTCACCCTATGAATAAGCTATCTTCAGGTAGATGATAAAGCTGGGGAAGCAGAAACAGATTGGTTATCTCAGATGGTGAGTAAGTCATATACAAAACAAATAGAACAGAATGCAGGGGCCCTTTCAGCAAAATGGAAAAATAAGTATTGGATTAATTAAGGAAAAAAGGAGACAAGGATAGGAAGCCCCTTTTACAACTATAGGATTAGGTACCTCTGCCATGTTGTTGGCTTATAAATATAAAAGGCAGTTCTTATTTTAGTACAGAGTACAAAAAGCCTGATTTTACCATATGCTGACCAATGGGAGCTAGAGTCAACCTTAGTGATGCTTACCCACCACAGTCAATGGTAATACTCAAAATATTTAATCATGGACTAGAAATACAAAGTGATCAATCAGCATGGATGCCAATCTGAAGTGACTATATTAGTGTACTGGCAGACTATATTAGCCTACCAGCTAAATATCAGCCCTAGATAGAGATAAACTATATTTAGTGAAACGAATGCATAAAATTTTAAATGTATATTAAATATAAATTAGGAAGTTTTTACTTTACAAATGGTTTCTATTTGGCGTCTTTAGAATAGAACCTATAGGTAGTGCATTGAGAGTTATTTGATTTGCACTGGTTTTCAATAGCAACCCTAATGAATGCTCACTTTTTTCTAATGTAGACCCTAATGTCATAGTAACAAGGTTATTGGATTAATAATTATAAAATCCAAGGCTTCGGCACGGCTTCATCACTTAATAGCTTCATTACCGTAATCAATTTCCTTAGCCTCCTTCAGTGTGTTTTCTCATCTGTAAAATGGAGAGAGTGACACTTATTCCACGCTGATGCCATGATATTCATGAAAGTACTTTGAAAACGATAAAGTGCTATTACTGTTATCACACACAGTGAGAGATGTCACAAGAAAACAGTTAATATCACAAATGAGATTCTGAAAGATTTCACTCCTATTGTGTTGCAAACATTAGATCATTAGTTAAGGTCCCTATCATTCAAAAACCAACACCCATGTTTCATTGTTCTTATTTTGTTTGTCTATCTAGGAGTGAAAATGGAAGAATTCCTGCCCCCTGGGGCTAGTCTAAAATGCACCGTCTGTAGCTACACTGCTGATTCTGTGATCAACTTTCACCAACACCTGTTCTCCCATCTCACTCAAGCTGCCTTCCGATGTAATCACTGCCATTTCGGCTTCCAGACTCAGAGGGAGTTATTGCAGCACCAGGAGCTCCATGTCCCTAGTGGCAAACTTCCCAGAGAAAGTGACATGGAACACTCCCCAAGTGGAACCGAAGACAGCTTACAGCCAGCCACAGACTTGTTGGCCAGAAGCGAACTTCCCCAGAGCCAAAAGGCCATGCAAACTAAAGATGCAAGCTCTGACACAGAGCTGGACAAGTGTGAGAAAAAAACTCAGCTCTTTCTCACGAACCAGAGACCAGAGATACAGCCTACAACAAATAAACAAAGCTTTTCTTACACAAAAATAAAATCTGAGCCCTCTAGCCCAAGACTTGCCTCATCGCCTGTTCAGCCTAATATTGGTCCTTCTTTCCCTGTGGGCCCTTTCCTATCTCAGTTTTCTTTCCCCCAAGATATCACTATGGTCCCTCAAGCTTCAGAGATCTTAGCGAAGATGTCTGAACTGGTGCATCGGCGACTGAGGCATGGCAGCAGTAGCTACCCCCCTGTCATTTACAGCCCCTTGATGCCCAAGGGGGCTACTTGTTTTGAGTGTAACATAACATTCAATAATTTGGATAATTATCTAGTGCACAAAAAACATTACTGCAGCAGCCGATGGCAGCAGATGGCCAAGTCCCCAGAGTTCCCTAGTGTGTCAGAAAAGATGCCTGAAGCTTTGAGTCCCAACACTGGCCAAACCTCCATAAACCTTCTCAACCCAGCTGCTCATTCTGCTGATCCCGAGAATCCACTTCTTCAAACATCTTGCATCAATTCTTCCACTGTCTTAGATTTAATTGGGCCAAATGGGAAGGGCCATGACAAGGACTTTTCTACTCAAACTAAGAAGATCTCTGCTTCCAGTAGCAGTGATGACAAAATTAATGGAAAACCTGTTGATGTGAAAAATCCCAGTGTCCCCTTAGTGGATGGCGAAAGTGACCCAAATAAGACTACCTGTGAAGCGTGCAACATTACCTTCAGCCGGCACGAGACATACATGGTCCACAAACAGTATTACTGTGCTACACGCCACGACCCTCCACTAAAGAGGTCTGCTTCCAGCAAAGTGCCTGCCATGCAGAGAACCATGCGCACACGCAAGCGCAGAAAGATGTATGAGATGTGCCTACCTGAGCAGGAACAAAGGCCTTCACTGGTTCAGCAGAGATTTCTTGACGTAGCCAACCTCAATAATCCTTGTACCTCCACTCAAGAACCCACAGAAGGGTTAGGAGAGTGCTACCACCCAAGATGTGATATCTTTCCAGGAATTGTCTCTAAGCACTTGGAAACTTCTCTGACGATCAACAAGTGTGTTCCAGTTTCCAAATGTGACACTACTCATTCCAATGCTTCCTGCCTAGAGATGGACGTACCCATAGATCTTAGCAAAAAGTGTTTATCTCAGTCTGAGCGGACGACCACGTCTCCCAAAAGGCTGCTGGACTATCACGAGTGCACTGTGTGCAAGATCAGTTTCAATAAGGTAGAAAACTATCTGGCCCACAAGCAGAATTTCTGCCCAGTTACTGCACATCAGCGTAATGACCTGGGTCAACTGGACGGCAAAGTGTTTCCGAATCCAGAAAGTGAACGAAACAGCCCTGATGTCAGCTATGAAAGAAGCATAATAAAATGTGAGAAAAATGGGAATCTGAAGCAGCCTTCCCCCAATGGAAACTTATTTTCATCCCACTTAGCAACACTCCAAGGCCTGAAGGTCTTTAGCGAAGCTGCTCAGCTCATTGCTACAAAAGAAGAAAACAGACATTTGTTTCTTCCACAATGCCTTTACCCTGGAGCAATAAAGAAAGCAAAAGGAGTCGACCAGCTTTCTCCATATTATGGAATAAAGCCAAGTGATTACATTTCTGGCTCTCTTGTCATCCATAACACTGACATTGAGCAAAGCACAAACGCGGAAAATGAATCTCCTAAAGGCCAGGCTTCCTCAAATGGGTGTGCTGCGCTGAAGAAAGATTCTCTGCCATTGTTGCCCAAAAATAGAGGAATGGTAATAGTGAACGGTGGACTGAAACAAGATGAGAGACCCACTGCCAACCCACAGCAAGAGAACATTTCTCAGAATCCTCAGCATGAAGATGGCCAGAAATCTCCTTCATGGATCTCTGAGAACCCATTAGCTGCCAATGAGAATGTCTCACCAGGAATTCCCTCAGCAGAGGAACAGTTGTCTAGTATAGCAAAAGGTGTGAATGGTTCCACCCAGGCTCCAACCAGTGGAAAATATTGCCGGCTGTGTGACATCCAATTCAACAACCTTTCAAACTTTATAACTCACAAGAAGTTTTATTGCTCATCACATGCAGCGGAACATGTCAAATGAACTCACTAAATAAACATCAGTCACCTTTGGTATCAGTGTTTAGTATGTTGTTCTAAACAGTCCAGAAAAAAAGAAAAAGCTATTTGAATTACATCTGGGCAATCAGGAGATAATTCATTATGGCTGAGTTGAAGACTTAAGGTGTAATTTCATTACAGTCCATTAGTAAAGTGTATTATTGGTGCCATTTTCAAAAAAAAATTAATTTATTTTACCAGCAGTATTCATAGCTGTGGTTATGTTATTTTTTATTTAAAAACTTTATATTAAAGTCATTTGTAATGTTATTGTATAGTTATTGTGTAGCACATATGGTTTGCACTGTATAGTAGCTTTTAAAGAAAATAGTCACAAACAATACAGAAAAGCATTTTAGAAATAGCTTCAAAAGCACTTGTGTATCTTGATTTTTTCTTATATGCTGTTGCAGATATATGTATACGCTAAAATATAACTTGCAAAGATGTTCTAAATACACATGATATAAGTTCGCCTTAAGATTTCAATTCTTGGATAATCAGGCTCCGTTTGCACTTTATATTTTAGCAGATACAGTCTCTTAGTCACTAGGCTTTGCATTTGTATGTAGCTGTATGTTTCTGTCCATTTTCTTAATCCTAAACCTGTATGTTAAATGAAGATGGCAATTTTTTTCTTGTATAGTACTTGTATTTTCTTTCGCTGATGCAGCTCTGTCTCAATTTTTAAACCTTTGCTGTTAAATGCAATACTTTATAAAGAATGAACAAAATTACTGGAAGCAGTATTGTAAGTAATGAGGTAGTATTAATCAGTTTTATCTTTTGAAAGGCACAGTCTAAATCGAAACCCTTAACTCAATGCTGCAAGTATGAATTTAATTCATATATAAGATCTATTTAAATATAAGAGTAGCAATACTGCACCTGGTGATCACAAAGATAATGTTCTACTTCTGATAGAAATAATTTCTCAACAAATGTTGTTACTATGCATGTATATGGATGGAATAAAATTCCAGATTGTTGGAGAAGTTTGGTATACTTCTTTTCCCTTCAAAATAGAAGAGAAACCCTCAATCTATTCTTTGTGATGAGAATCGTTTCAAAGTGGCACTGAATAGCTGTATTAACACAATGACAAATCAGTAAAGAGAAAGACTGTCCTTTACATATACCTAATTAATGTAACGTGCTCTATTAAAATGAACTAGAGACTCCAGGCCATGAAACTAGAAAAGCTCTTCATTACAACTATGTATCAGTGGCAGAATCTCTCTGTCTGCCTTTCCCCACCATCACTGCAGCGTAAAGGGCAATTTCATGTATGTCTACAAAACTTACAAGTCATATGTACAAGAACCAACACAAATGTTGGTAAAATGTGCCCAAGATGGAGTTTAGCAGAGAGAGATTATTGCATTTTGAGGAATGGTAACATGGTGTGGTAAAGTGACTCTGATGGGTAAAGATGTGCAAATCTCATGCTCAGAATTTGTAAAAGACCCTTGATTTTATATATCTCATTTGTATAATCTAGGGGTTTGCATACTGAGGGGGCGTGAAGAGCAGAGAATGTGGGCCTAATGGGCCAGCCAGAGGCATTGAGAATGACTCAGCAGTCATGACGGTTTCCTGCAAAATTAGAAATCTCCTGACTTGGAAAGGCAACTATCCACTTGAGGCTAAAACACACTCTTTATAGATAGATGCTCTATTATTCATCCACGTTGGATCTGGTAACATAACGAACATAAATGTTGGCCTCAAGCATAACAAGGCATACAAATACTGGAAGCAGTATTGTAAGTAATACTGTGACAAAACATAAGATATAATACGTTGTCAAAAACGTTTTTCTAGTTGCTTGTTGAGAATGATTATTTTCAGATTTGAAATCATGGCCTGAATTGATGTTTTCCATTTCAGTCAGTGATTAAACAGTGAGGTGAACAGAACTAATGTGCTTAATAGTGTGTAACAGGAATCTCTCAAAGTATCAGATCCTTGGGGATCGATGGAGACCATTCAGAAAGACCTATGTGGTACACAGTTTGGAACTAGTAGGGCTGGTTATTCTTGAGAACTTTCTTCCCCAATCTCTTTTTCATCCTTTTTCCTCTTAAAAAAGAAATAGAAAAATTAGCCCAATCAACATATATTTATTAAGTGGCTTGCATCCACTATTTAGAGAATGAAGGCAAAGAAATATAACACATGACCATTTTCTCAAAGAGCTTATAATTTCATTCAATTTAGTGCTTCTCAACAATTCTCTTATTAGAATCGCCTAAGGAACATTTAAAAATGCCAATTATGTATATATTTTTGTACATTGGGCCTTACCCTAGATCAATTAAAGAAACACTCAAGCCTGTGAGCTCTAGAATCTATATCTTATAAAACCTACCCAAGTTGTTCTAATATGCAAACAGTGTTGTGAAATATTGAATGGTAAATTAGAAGAAAGTATGAAGGATAAGTGAGACTAAGTATAGTAAAAGAACAAAAAGATAAAAGGAAACAAATATGGGATGAAAGTTGGGACAGGCTTCACAAATAGGGTAGGCTCTGGAGAGGTGGGTACCATGGTGAGGAAGGCTACCTTCAGGCCACCGTGAGATGTTTGTACACTGTATCCAAAGGGTGCTTATTTCAAGTATTGTTTATAGAGTTTAAAGTACATTCTGATAGGTGTTCACAGAAAGAACATAGTGTAGGTCAAAATAGTGACATTTGGATCAGAACTAGATCTGGAGAGTGTAGAGGGAGAAAATGGTATTTCTACATGTGGCAATCCCGGTATGTTACAGCACAAAAGTGGAATGCAACTGGCATGTGGGGTGAAAAGTGAGTAAAAAAGTTTTCAAAAGAAGAAAGTTTAGATTAGAAAGAAAAGCTGAAGTGGGAGGATTGCTCGAGCCCAGGAGTTGGATGATCATGCCCATGAATGGTCTCTGTATTCATGCCTGGGCTGTGTACAATAACCAATCTCTAAAAAAAAATTTAAAAAGAAAATAGAAGTATAAATAGGGATCTGGTATCACAAGTTCTTGAGAGGCAGATGAAGGTTTATGAGCTTGCCTTATACTTTGCCTCTTAAATAGAGTCATCAAATGAAAACTATGTTTAGGAATGGTAGTAGAGTAAGTATGAGGTCTAGATGCTACACAGAAGCAGCTTAGTTAGAAGGTCATAGTGATGTTTTCAAATGGGGGGAAATGAGAGCCTGTACCAGGTGAATGGAGAAGCACAAGTGTGAATACAAGATTATATAATGAATTAATGAGTAACCAACGAGATGTGGTACAACGAGACGTGGTACAACAAGATATGAAGATGAAATCAAACAAGATGTCAAATGTCTTGAGCCCACACTGATAAATATGTCCCATGTCCAATAAACATTGAGGTGAAAATATTACCATCAGTTGAGTAATCTAGTTCAATGATGATAGTAAAAAGAACAATGGTTTATATTGGTTCTTCAGATTGTTGTATTTCAATCATCTATAAAATTCTAAAGCCTTTAATCAGAATATCTTAGGATGGAACCTGCATTTCTAGTTTTTGTCTGTTTGATTTTTAACAAAGCAATCCTAGGGTATTCTGTGTTGTCCTCCCTTGACCACAATGGAGAACGACTGAATTAAACAGGGGTGGGGGGGAAGCTGTATGCAAAATTAATTAAGCTAGCAGCAGAATTTAGTATATAATTGGTCTTTCAAGTGCTTCTTTCAAACATGTAACACATTTGAGTGTTTCAAACTATTATAAATTAAAATAATTCAACATGTATGTTTTAATATTTAAATTAGAATGGAAAATCAAGTTTTTATGGAATCTGTGAGTACTATTTGAAAATCTTTTCGCCAGTAAGAATGCTCTCATTTTCAGGCAAAACTAAGGGTCAGAGATTTTAAGTGCCCAAAGTTATAAAGCTAATAATTGAGAATCAGATACCTGGGTTTTGCCTTCTGATTACCTGCTGACATCATGTTCTTTTCTTCATTAAAACAGAAGGCAAAGACTAAGGCATGTTATGATATCAGTTTTATCCAAATGTCTTGGTCTTTGATCTATAACTTGAAAAAAAGGCAATGTTTTCCTTTAAATACCTAAATTTCAATGACTTAAGCCCCTACCAGCTTGTTTGCCAGAATGTGGACTAATAAGCTACCAAGATTTTCCCAGTCTGGCAATGCTTATGAGACTGCTCTTGGATGGGATGAGGGGGTCACCACCACCTTCTCCTGGTAAAGACCACTGCTTTCACACTCAGGTTTCAAGGAGACACTGCTCTCTCTCTACCACATAATCACCAGCATCAGACATGCCTCACCTTTAATAACACAGTTCATCAATCTTTACTTAAAGTTCAGGAACGATAGAAGAGAAAAACAATGTACAGAATACCCCTCAAGTACTCCATTGACCCTCATCTAACCCCCAGCTTTCTTAAAGGATGATCACCTAAGCTGTCTGCACCATAAGTGGATCCATGCCTCTTGTGCTAAGGGGTCTTAAACAATTTCACACATGGACCCAAAGAGAAACAGGTTTTCGCTCAACCTAGTCACAAGTTCCCTTCTGGAGTACTCATTTTCTGCCTTAATACTGACCCCTTGAAAGTGCCCCCATATTATCCTTCTAGCCACACATTAGATTCCACAAGTCATCAGGACACTCAGAACGAGCTCTGCATATCTTAAAAACAGAGGCATCAGTAGTTAGTCTGATACTTTTACATCGTGAATCCACTGCCTTTAAGGCCTCTTGTTTTCTTTGAGAAAGTGCTTAAAGAAGAAAACATAAAAAAGGCCAATGAGAAAAAGTTGAAAGTATAGGCAAAGGGTAATTGAAATCCACACTTAGAAGGGAAATACTTCTCTAATGAAAACTGTAAAAGCAAAAGTAAAAAGAACTATTTATTTCATGAGAAACTTTTTTGATTAATTTATGGAATGGTTGAGGTTCTTGAAGTTGCCATATCTCAAACATTTTCATTCAGAAAAATGTCTATTTGTTCCTATCACCCAGTAATGTTAATAAATATAAGTTGACTGAAAATGGTAGTTTTCCCATAACTAAAGATGGTCTTTCTCCCACAACAAACTCAGTCTTTAAGTCTTAAAGGCCAAAATTGCCTATAGCATTGTTTTTGAAGATCCCCACTCCCAGTTGCTAATTATCAAGGATTCAAATGATCTCAACTTGGGTCACCTTGTCACACGATAAGGGGAATGTACAAGTAGGAAATATTCTTAGCTGGATAGATGCAAGAAATAAGTAGCAATCTTCACAGTATTTCAGCTTTTAGCTTCAACCTTTTTCTCTAACATCAAACCTTTAGAAGATTCACTTTAATAAGTATCAATGTTAAATTATTGACATTTAAGACTAAGAAATTATTTTATACTCACTTGTGCATAGAGCTGAGTTTAGCAATTTCCAGCGTGTTTGAAACAGTCCAGCTTCAAATTTCATGAGCTAATATAAGCCATTTCTGTATACTACTCCTGCTAGATTATTGTAAAGTAGCAAACAAAGGACTGCATATCAAAGAGTGAAATAAGTCACAAATTCAATAACTAGTACCTGGTACAGATGCATTACAGTGACCCTTAATAAGCGTTTCTAAATGGATTTATGAACGAATAATGGAGATAGAAAACAGCTGGTATATGAATATATAAGTGAATAATACATGAAGGAATAAATGACTAGTTGAGAGTTAACCTGATCTAATTAACTAATTAATGAAAAGGGATAATTTGCCAGATAGTTTTCAAACCATTACCTTTTGATATGGAGATGCATGTTCATTATTTTACTACCATTGCAGGAAAATAAAACCACATGCATATATGAAAAGCTTCTTCCTTAGAAAGTCAGTATCTGCCATAGGTATGCCAAACAGGAAACTCTATATAGGGAAATAGTTACATAAGTGTTAGATAGCCTGGAGGAGTTGAAAGGGATTAGGAACCTCAGGAAGCCATCATCACTCTGAAGACTAGAGGAGCAAGGGGAA